TGATCGGAGTATGGTGGAGCAGCAAGGTGTCGGCACACCGGGTGCTACTTCTAGCGACAGCGAGGACAGTGTCAGTGTTGAGGGCGGCCCCAAAAAAATCAAAATGTTCGGAGAGAGCAACGCCGGTCAAAATCGAGTAGTGGATGAAAAATAAAAGCTTAAGTGTTTTTATCCCGCCCCTCTGCTTTGAAAGGCCGTTCAACAAAATTTGGCCTCACGCCGCCGCAAGTCTAGTCGGCGCACATGTCTATTCAGCGCGGAGCTCGTGGAGGAGGGTGCGACAGGGCCTTAGCCGCCCATTACCGCGGTCTCATCGACCGGTGACGCCATGACGGCTCAACGTCTGAATACAACAGCTCAAAGCTCAACTCAAGCGAGTGAGTGAGTGTCGAACCCTCAACGCGCTGAAACAATACCATAGAACCAAGCAAGTTACGAGACATAACATGGAGCTGTGAACCAATTAGATTATCTGTGCCACACGGTCGGATAGTTACCAGAATAACACGCTGGGAATGCAAGGCACGACGGCCTAAATACGAGAACCACTGTTGTTGCCGGTGCAAGGTCAGGTGCAAAAAAGGCCGATCAGCTGGCGCCGGAGCAACCAGGAAACATCGCGGGGAGAAGAGGGAAGGGCAGCGTCAGCAGCGGCACCTGGCGGCAACGAGAGGCACCTCGTCGCCGCCCCGCTTGACAACACTGGGCTCTGGCTTAGTATTGTTGACAATACCTGGCCTTGGCCCAATTGTTGTCAATAGGGTATTGGTCTAGAGCGCTGAGCGGAGGTAGAAGAACAAAAACGGAAGATGGAAAGGCACCCGCACTCCTCCCCGCCTGCCCTCCACTTCTCCCCGGGCGCTCCCCCACTCCGCCTCTGACTGGCTGTGCTATTGTTTTGTTTATGTACCTCATAATTGGTACAACCTAATGGGGCTTCTAGCCCCAATGTACCATTCTTCTGCATAATAAATCTAATCTAATCCGCCCAGTGGAGGAGAGGGGGACGGCCCGGGCGCCTTTTCACCTTCCGTTTTTGTGCTTCTACTTCCGCTCAGCACTCTAGACCAATACTCTATAATGGGCCTTGGCTAAGTATTGTTGACAATACTAGTGCCGTTGATTTTTACCGTCTCAGTTCGCTATTTTGACCCAAACTCCAATTTTGTGTTGAATTCGCGAGAATTCCGTGCCCCTGCAGGGTAGGCAATGCACTCAAATACCCGTGTCAAGGTCCGGGAATATTGGCTGATAGTTCAGATTTAGGCCCACTCACCCAGGAGCGTTTGACCCAACGTAACTTTGGCCCAGATATGATTCACCCACAAGTATTTTACCCCCA